CGTAGAAATCCAATCCTATCCCTTTGCGATACTTCATATTCAAATTTAAATTCAAATATCTTTATTCAACATAGGAGCATTACACTCACATATTGATTGTCAAAATACTACTGTTAGAAAAAGATAAGACAGTGACCTGAGAAGAACCGGCGGAAGAAACTCAGCGGGCTTACAATACATTAAAGTATAATTTGAAAGAACCTGAAGCGATCAATTTCCAGATTGTGTTATCATTATTAAATAGCCTTTAACACACAAACGTTCTTTTATATTTTTTTTAAATTTAAAAATTGATGCATTTTGAACGTTTCCTGGGACTTTGTTAGAAATGTGCGCATTGTCCCATAAAAGATATTCTTATTGCAAGCAGTCTAGTTCTTGTGTATAATTTGGAATCGAACGTGTACCATTTGTTATTACGTACTCCGTGCGATCGCGTTTGAGTCGTAACCCAATTTGCACGGAAAACATCTGCCCGACATCTACATCCCGTAAAGCGACGTTCACACTGTCGCGAACAGTCCGCGAATGCGTCTTACTCTATTAAAGTGACGGTGGCGCAGCTGCTGAGCTATTGGCCTCGGCGTCGGGCTTCGTGGGTTCGATTCCCACACGGGACTAGTGTTTGTGCGACCCGCCGATAATTGTTCCGAATCTGGGTGTTCCCAAGACGATGTCAGGCATGCATTAAAAAACTTTTACAGCTTAATTCACTTGTTATGCCGACCCCAACTAGGATAAGGGCAGGCACACCGCAATGCCGTGTTTTAGGTTCGATGCTAAAAAAAAATATTTTTCGGTAATTTTCTCGACGCTTTCGCAATCTCCTGTAATACAGGTTTTTTGAGCAAACAAACGAACGTTCCCTATAGAGAAAGTCATCTTATCTAATTGATACCTAGTGTTAATGTGGAGTTTAATTCATGCAGTTAAGATAGCGACGTTAGGAGCAAACGAATTATTCTATTTCAAGACGATGTTTGTTATTAAAAACAACTCCACCGTTTATACTGAGCGGCCATAAACTGTTCGGTGATAAAATTAATAACGCTGAGTCGAATCAATTATTGCACCCCTAATTGTATTCTATGCCGTTCCTTGCGATGTTTATTATCATTTCTGGAGCTGGCCGAAGTATTTACTCTCCCAAAGGTCGATTACATCGCCGTGTCGTGAAATTGTTTTCGTGAAATATCACCAGCCATTATTACACGCCAACGGCTGCCAGATAAACACGTGTTTAGTCTAAACACAATAAAGGCAATTGTTCGCGTTTTATTAATATAATGCTCAATAATTTCGACCATCACAATGATCATTATATTTTATATTATTATATTACGTACATTAAGTTAATTGATAATGCTATTTTTAATGTTTTAATTAAGCTACGTTCACGACCGAAGGCATTTTGTTATGATAGCTGTTGTTTTTTTCTGTAAACAATAGCGTTTTAATATTTTGGTACATTGACATATATTGTCTTTCATAATTTTTACAAACTTTTAAAGAAAATATAAAATGGATCACCTTTCTCCACTTATTTATTTTTTCTCAGGTTATATATGTAAAGAACTTTAATGGGAATAATAATTTAACTTGTATGTTCATTATTATTCCCATTAAACTTCATTCTTAATTAATTCAATTTTTGAATTAATGACAGCTGTCATAACTTTAGCCTTACGGGGAATTATGTTATTAAAACTAGCCTATAATTTTGCAATAATATGCATCAGATTAGATATTTTTTACAATATGCCATCATCAATTACTCACGTCGCCCACAGGTGAACGCCTCTCGACAGGCCTCGTGACTATTTAATCATAAATGTTAATCGGCGGTTTATCCGGCCAGTTTATTATTTTAGTATGACATTTTTATAATTATATCATAACTGTCATCCGACGACATCCTTCATTAAAAATGATTACTACGTGGACACGACGCGGAGATGAAACTTTGAATTTCGAACATCAGTTATGTTTTAAAATTTTCAGAACTTTAAATTATTAGACATAACGGACAGGGTATAAAGTTATTTTAAAGGTCGCGTCCCAAACGAACTCAACCGGAAATATTCTCCTAATAAAAATGATATGAAATATTTTTTTCTTTTAATTTGGATTCCTTTAAAATCGATGTGCCCACTAAAAATTGTCATCGATCTGAACGCATCCTAAAGCTGGCGACAACAATAAGTGCACATTGACCGCGTCCTCCAGACGAAAGTAATGAAATGAAAAAATAAAAAAAAAACAGCCCGCTGCCCGCTTTCGCCGTCGGCCCGGCCCGAAATTGAATGACCTCATTTTCGGCTGCTTTTTTTTATTATTTTCCTTTCGCGTTATTTCGTCGTCTTTGTTGTCTTCAGAACGGCCGCGTACGCCGAAATAATGCGCGGGCACTCTTTATTCGGTTTTCGAACGATTCAAAAATGTATAATCTTCGTTGCGTTCAAGATTTGTAGTTTTGATTTAATTTTATTGTCTCCCTAAAGAACTGTAGACATTTTTTTTTGTAATTTTTCATTATGTTTTTATTCGAGGCGTAGTAGTGGTTAACGTTTTAATGATCTCGCAGAGTTTTGGTTACGTTGTAACGCGCAGAGAAGGTATCTCATTATTCGAAAACGAAACGCTTTTATACGACGGTAGAATCTAGATTTCCGCACATTTTGTTACCTGTCTAAATAGACAAGAGAATGTGCAGAAAACTAGGTCGTACTTTTACAATCATTATTGCCAATTTAATCTCCGTAATTTACCTTTTACAATGATATAAAGTAAAACGGCATTTGTGGCGTTTCATTTAATGATTGTCTCAGCCTACTGCAATATAATTCCTCTGCAACTCCAAACTTTGTCAGTTACATTTCAGTTAAAAAGTAACATTTCAACAATACTTTAATTATTTTATTTTCTGAACTTCGTACAAAGGTGCAGCAAAGATGTGAGTATAGAAATGTGAAAGAAATGATATTATTCGTACTCATTAATCGCGAACACTTTTTTAGCTATCAATTAATTTGAACCACACTTTAAAGTAAATTTATAGACAAACAAAGCAAAAAAAAAAAACAAAGATCTCGTAAGAACTGAAAGTAGAAGATCCAAATAGAATTATAACAGACTAACCTAGAGTTTGTAATAAATGTTTTGAAACAAACAATTGCAATTCGAAGAAATGTAAGAACCAACTTATCGGAACTCATTATTATAAAATGTATACTTCATGCACCAGAAAAATTGTTTTCAAAATAAGGTAGCTAATTGTAAACATGTAAATATCGCACTCCCGTTCGGCCATTACGTGGCAGATGAAAATATTGTTTATTAATTTTAAATTCTGTTTACATACGGAAAAACAGAGTGAATCCGATGAATGCGCAAACAAATCGTGACTAAACGTTCTTAATTTAAGATGGTTTATCATAATTAAAAAGTTGACGCGAAAGAAATCTATTTAAGTATTATATAACCTATTATTACCTATACATTTCATTACTAATATTGCATGATATTTATGTTCAGAAAAAAACTTATTAAAAGAATATTCTCTCTGCGCGTTCTGGGTAAAAACTGTTTAAAAAGAGAACAGCGAACGACGCAACCGATAATTTCTAGTAGCGGAGAACTGAAATCAAAATGGCGCCCGCGGGCGAAGATCAGGTTTATCTATCGGCGTGGCGGGCGAAATAAATTCCCCCAAGTAAAAACTGATGCGCCTCATCCGTCTGGAGGTTGAAACGAAAAATAAGACTTGACAAAAACCGTCCGCGATGCTATTCGCGCCGGTTCTGAGGAACGCGACCTATCATTTGTAGCCGCCGTTCGATTTTGTCTATGCTTCGCTTTTTTTCTTCTAAACCGGCCAGCTTAGTGCCTTCATATTGGATCTTTTTAATGAGAAAATTCTAGTTCTTCTTCTATAATTACGTATTGAATTTCGATTTCGATTATATTATTTATATAAACATCTTTTTTAAAAGTCATATATTAACATGTGTAGCTGATAATGAACTAAATATCAATGTAACTTGTGATATGTTATGAGCATAGCCCTTGTTATTGCTAGATTACAAGGATAGATTACAAGGAATATTTATTAAATGAAACTAGTTTACGGATTTTATCGCGCTTTAATTTTGAAAATTAAAATCCGTGAACTAGTTTCATTTAATATTATACATTATAAATGAAACTAATACATATTAAATGAATCTAGCGTAAAATGAAGAAGTCAATACAGGGAATATTATTACATAATGTTGTTGTAGGAATAGCCGAGAATAATAGTGACGGATGAAACACAAGGGCCTACGGTATACGGTCGAGGGAATGACAAAAACCCTGCATATAGAATAGTGTTAACCGATCATTAAACTTCTTTTTTCCTAAGAATTCTCAACTCGGGAGCTCCAGCTTCGCCGCGGCCTAAAGCTACCGAACGCATACCGTAGGCAGGGTTGACAAATCGGCTATTTGTAGCGTTTCAAGCAAAGCGAACGTTCATCTACAGGCATTTCATCAGAATGTCAACGGCTCTAAGCGTGGTAAAATGCTTGTATAAGACGCATAAACTATAACGCATTTTTACAATGCACGAATAGTATACGCCTAAAATGCTTTAAGAGATAAGAATAATAGAATAAGCGAGAATAGTAGAAGAGATAAGAGAAGATTCAAATTATTTCAAATTATTAAATCAGTTACTATTAAAGATTCTGTCCCTTAAGTTTAAAAGAAAACATTCGCCGTTTCTTTTTTCAAATTTAATAAGTTTTTCTTCAAGTAAATGTACCCGATTTGAATTTGCGATCGCCGCGCACACGGGCTCATACTTACGCGCCCCGGTCGGGACGGCAAAAACACGCGGCCTTCTCGACGAGCCTGCCTGGCAGCCCTGCCTCAAGAATCCAGTTACGGACCAGTTCCATACGTCAGATACGAAAGTTATGCTTTATATTTATATCTACGACGCACTTATTACGTCTCTATACGTGCGCGTTTAGTTTGTATGCGGGTAAAAAACGAAATAAATCGTCCGGTGAACGACCGAGCGTCGGTTGAGGCAGGGCAGGTTTGCGCGTTGTCAGCGCGGGCAGTTTGACAGCTTTTGAGGTGCGTTCTCTTTTTGAATTGTGGGCGTCGATATCGTTCGTGGCCGCTTTTTTTTTTTCGGCCCGCTCCGCCGCGGCCGCGCGCCGGCGAGTCATCGTGCGCGGCGTATTAGGAACTCCATTGTGTCGTTTTTGCTTAATCTGAGAATGGCGATCGATCATGTACTATCTGGTTGGAGATGCGTTGTTTTTTCTTCTTTATTTGATGTTATAAGGCCTGATGCTTACTTATTATAAGTCAATGTTTGAGACTAGAATCAATACAGATTTAGTTTCGGATTTAATTATTTTTGGTTTTAAAAATAGTTTTGTTAATAATTTAAACGATTGAGGAGTGAAACGTCTTTGTTGTTATGAGAAATATTTAATACATAACAATAAATATGTAGAATAATAATATTGATTTTCCATTATAATCGTAAAGCTGAAAACGTTCGCGGGCCGACGAACAATGCCTCTATTATTGTTTATCGACGTACGAATGTGTTTTTGCCGCCATTACTGACCGTTTAAGGTCACATCGTTATTTTTATCAGTTCAATACACTTTTTATGAGTCGAGCTGGCGTCGTAATAAGTGAATTGAACTATTGGGATCGCAGGGCCTTACTCTCTTGGATGCATCATTCCTCTATGTTTTTTGCGAAGATTTTAAGTTCTAAGTGCCAGCATTTTGTAATTGAAGCTTTGTGCGTTCTAAGAAATATGGAGCGTTACCTCGCTTTTATCTTTCATTACCGTATTTGTGTAGATTCTTTGACAGGTTTATGTTCTAGAAAATATACTATTTGACAAATTCGTAATAAGGGATAATTCCCTTGTTGCATGTTCTTTAATTGAATAATTGCTAAGTTTCTAGACTCTTATATATATATATAAATAAAATATGTAATGTAATGTAAATATGCAGTATATACGTTACTAAAGAGCATGTGTATTTAACATAATAATATATAATCATATGTAATTACATTTTGCCAATTTTCAAATGGTTGTCAACGCGTCTGCAACCCTCGGGTGTAGCAGATGTCTATGTGCGGCGGTATTCATTTAACATCAGGTGAACCGTCTGCTCGCTTGGCAATTATTCTCTATGCTTCTACTTACTTGTTACTATGCTTCTTAAATAAAAACATAAAAGTGGAACAGCTTGAGCAAGTCGAGTAGTTTCAGACCTTCTAAACCAAAGTCCTTGTTTGAAACAAAGATCACACAAAATACTGTTTCAAACTGATCACTTATTCTCGATCTTATAGCGTATTTGATAGTGAATTGCATTCGATCCTATTAAATAACTGACAGAAATAAGTATAACTTTCGTGTCTGCTCTTAGGGCATACCTTAGTTTGCGAGCTAGTAATAAATAACATGACATTTTTAAACTCTTATAAATCTTAAACTAACACAACGTTTTTGACTCTTCACTTCGAAGTTTAGTGTACTAGATCCATTCAGCCGCTTTTTCTGTTGAATTCTTCACTACATAGTATAAAACAAAGTCGTCCCGCTCCCTGTTTGTCCCAAAGCATGCTTATGTAAACTTTAAAACTACCCAACGGATCTTGATGCGGCCTATTTTACGCTACTCTAAAAGACCACAAAATACAATCAGTAGAAAACGTTTTATTTTCATACTTCTACACTCTAACTTTCGAAGGAAAACTACCAGAAGCCGGGGGGGGGGGGGGGGGTCGCTAGTAAATAATAAAACCAATTCAAAGGATGTTTGTTACATTACTACATTTGAGGTCAACTGATAGTTGATTCCAACAAAGATCGTATTTACATTTAGATATTAATTAATATTTTACTAACATTTCTTTATTTGTGATGGACTCTGTCATGCGTGCATTGAGAAACAAAACTTTGGTCTATAAAATAAAAAACAAAACCTCCAGTCTTTGCTAATATCCGATCGAGCGGTCAATAATCGACAGCGAAAACTCGTGAGCTGGGACGCTTTCAAGTCGGCACTATCCCCTTCTTATGTTCAGTCTGTCTGGATATTGACGTTGTCAAACGCGGTCGTTACCCCCGAAAACGTTGCGAGCAATGGAAAAATACTCCAGCACGTGAGACGCAGACATGTCTATTCCGTCGAATTCAAGAAGATATCTAATTGTAATTTCTCCTCAATTTATACCTTCGTAGGCTGAATAGGTCGCTAATGATTTCAGCGAAGCAACGCTCATTGCAGAAAAGTTGTTTACGAATTTAAAAGAGATAGCTTTTCGCTGTATTATAGAGCAAAAGGAATAAATGGACTCATTTCAATAATAGGCCTTTGTCAATTAAAATCCATTCAGTAGTATTTGCGTGAAAGAGTAACAAATATCCATCCATACATACAAACTTTCGCCTTTATAATATTAGTAAAGAAGTAAGGATACGTATAGGCGTCAGACGAAGCTTTAATAGTCTCTCTTTAATAGAAGGAGTACAGGACAGTTCCTATACTCTTCCTATACGTATAGCCGTCAGTACTGCCTCGTTCTCGTACAAAATGGATAACTTAGCACAGTTGCCGATACAAAAACAAGTTTGTCTCGGCGGGTCGATCGATCGCCTCGGAATGGATTCAACGGTCGACCTATAAAAGTGCTATCAACACTGGATTGGAGTGCTGTCGTGTGGTGTCTCCCACGTGGGATGCTCTGAAATGTATCACTCTTTTCCTTTGACTTATGTGATACTCCACAGCATTTGGTGGGGGCAACAGGCTCGTTCCGGAAAGACAAATGTTTCATTGAATTTACGACCAGATTGGCGTAGTGGCTAGCAAAGCTGTCTCTTCGGCCGGAAAGTGGGTTCGATCCCATTACCTAGAACAGTACTGTGTGATGAAAATAGTGTTTTTCTAGTGTCTGGGTGTTTAAGTATCTACAACATGTATTTATTTACAAAGAAAAATATGTTCACTTACCTAGTATCCATAGTTAGAACTTTACTTCGATTAGGACTAGACTTTAAGAGAACTATTACTACTAACTATTAGCTTCTTAAATAGTGTCCTGACCATCTAAGATCATTGCGTAGATACCATTAGGTGGGCTAGACAATCCCTGGTCAGTTTTAGAATAAGAAAAAACACTAAACAATGTCAAATCTTATCATCGGTTCAAACTCATTGAAACACTAATTATATTTTTTTTTTTCAAAACGTAAAAAAAGGTTTTGTGAAATTGAGCACAGCGATTTCTACTCATTATCAATTTCATTTCCATCCTGTGGCCTATTTAAAAAAAAAAGTAAAGTAACAGCCTGTACAAGTCCCACTGCTGGGCAAAGGCCTCCTCTATACAGAGGGTATCAGGGCATAGTCCACCACGCGGCCCCACTGCGGATTGGCGGACCTGGCCTATTTTACGCTACTCTATAAGACGACAAATACAATCAGTAGAAAACGTTTTATTTTCATACTTCTACACTCTAACTTTCGAAGGAAAACTACCAGAAACGTAATCCGTTAACCGACTTTCGAATTTCAATTATCCTACCAATTCCGCCGTTGTGTTACCATTGACCACTTGCACGTTTATTTCGTTAAATTATCATTTGTTATGATATATATATATATATATAAATTTATTTTATGACATAATTCTAGGGCAACCGATGAATACAAATGGTAAAGTGTCGTATGTTGTGGCGTTCTAAGGGGGAGGCATATGTTCAACAGTGGACGTCTTCCGTCTGAATGATGATGAGAACATAATTATATAAATCTCAGTTTCAGCTCAAGTGATTACGACTAATAGGCTAAGGAAGTAGAGTCGAAACTCATCTAATTGCTTTATCTCCAATTTACAAGTTTAGATTAAATTAAAGATGGTCAGCATCATTTTAAATTAAAATTAGCGTTATAATATGTAGAAAAAACTTTTTCTACATATTTTTTCTCCACATATTTTAATGTTCAATCTTAAGTGCAGAGATTAGCACTATAAACAATTTTTTTTTTAAAATTACCGTTTAAAATAAATAATAATTTTAACATAATCAAAAAGTACTTCAAGTATGTTATCAAATACACGCGTCTATTGTATTCATATTCCATGTCAAAGATTTTCCGTCGAACTATTTGTTTATCTAAATAGCGTAATATTTCCAATCAAAATATAATGATGTCTACTCAAAAGCAGGTCAATGCCACAGCCATAACTAAGGGAATTAATATTGTTAGAGTGTAGTCAAGACGGTCCAATATCCCATTAATAGCGTGTCTAATAATATCGAACGCTTTAAGCTGCACTTCCTGACAGTTCGATGTCTAATACCTTCTTTTCTGTAAACTAACACTAGCTTTTCGCCCGCGGCTTCGCTCGTGTCGAAGCCTTTAAATAAATATCTTTCTTTTAAAAAAATCCAATTAAAAATAGCATATGTCCTTTCGAAGGGTCTAGACTATCTGTGTACCAAATTTCATTTAAATCGGTTCAGTGGTTTGGGCGTGAAAGCGAGACAGACAGACAGAGTTACTTTCGCATTTATAATATTAGTATGGATTTATTATGTGCTTTTGATTCACATCATTTAGCTACAATTCATGATCCTTTCCGACTGTGTGTTAAATTATTAATAAAATAGAACAGTTAAAATCAAATAGTATTGTGTCTTGAAGGCTTGCAACGCAATTGTGACTCCAATGTTTCAAGTGTCCATGGGCGGGGGTGATCACTTTACATCAGGTGAACTGCTTGTTCGATTGCTTTCTTTTTCCATAAAAAAAGTTTTCAAGCTTGTCATCTATAAGTTTTAGGATACAGGCTACGAGGACAAGATACGTCTTGTGCTGTAATCCAAATGTTCTGTTAATTTTATTATTGGAAATACGTGTTTAAAAATAATATTTTCGTGGACCAAAGTAAACTTTATTATTATTATCGTTTTACTTTGTGTTGCGCTGTAGTCTGCATGTTCTGCTAATTGTATAATTGTAAATTTTGAAGGTTTGAAATGTATAATTTTACTTCGCACTATAGTAAACTTTATTACTATTATCGTTTTAAAAATAAATTGTAAATAATACATAGTCTGCAGCGGGGCCTTAGCAGTCTCTACTGTTCCAGATATCAATGGGCCTTGAAATGATAATCATTTAACATCAGGTGAACCGCCTGTTCGTTTGCCATCTCACACGTGAAAGACATACTCTAAGATTTA